GGCGGCACGTCCCTCGGCGCGGGCGGGGGAAGAGAAAGGGCTGCTGATCGCGGGTTCGTTGCAGGGACGCTGACCCCTCGGTTTTAATTACTGTTTCAGTAGTTTCGGTGCAGCGCTGGGTTATGTAGCTGCCACAGGACTCGTTTGCTAGCTGTAGTGCCGTGCTTTCAAAATCCTGCATTCTTGCTTTTTGCTTTCTAGTAAAATCTTTGCTCGGTTCTGGTAGAGGCAAAGAACCCATTTGGGAAAACTCAATTTCCAGAAGAGTGACCTGGACTGTGCACAAAATGCTGGAATACCAGAAAAGCGGCATTTTCTATTTGCTTCAGCCCTCCTGGGTTGTGACGGTAGTTTCTTATAACAGTAACAAGTGAACGTTTGTCATTTAGAAGGTGTGTTTTGGGTTTTTTTAAGTTGCTGGTGTTTCTTTAAGTTGGCTTTTTCCTCTGGATGAGGGACGGAGTATCATCAAATCACAGGGCGAAGTCTTGCATCAGCACATGAACAGAACTGTCCTTTGGAGGAAATGGTGCCTTGGTAGGCAAGGAAAGGACTCATGCTATCAGTGAATCCATCTTCCAACCAGAACTGCATTGTCAGCAACCTTCTCTGTGGAAACAGGATCCCAAGCTTTGCTTGGATTGAGGGAACTGCTCTGGCAGTGCTGTTTAACTTACTGCTGTTTAACTTATTGTGTATGGCAGCATGCGAGAAAATGTAAGGGTGATTCATGTAATCGTACTCCTTTTCTTTCTGGTTGTTTAATTGTTCTGTCTGAAACACTGAGTGCAACCTCACATACAGGGAGATGTTTGTGTATTGCTAATATAGATGAGGAGGAAAGCTATATAATGTGGGGGGTATTAATAATACAATTTTTAAGTAATTGTGATCCCATTCAGTTTGAATAAAATTTTCTTCCCTTTCTGGGATAAAAAGCTGAAAAAAATCTTACTGAATGAGTACTGTCTTTTTTTGTCTCTAGAGCTGTGTGAAGAAATTCTTCAGCCATGGATGTGTTCATGAAAGGACTTTCCAAGGCGAAGGAGGGAGTCGTAGCAGCGGCAGAAAAGACCAAGCAGGGCGTGGCGGAGGCGGCAGGGAAGACGAAAGAGGGTGTCCTCTACGTGGGTAGGTGGGCAGCAGGGGTCACGCTGCTGGTCGGGGCACCGTGACATTCACAGCCGGGTCCTCGTCAGACCTATTCTTCTGCAAAAAAAATACATGTAATCGCTCATAGGAGACTGTTGCGAAACAAGCAAGCGGAGAGCTGTGCCCTCCTGAGCTCCAGTTCTTTGAAGCCAAACGTGGGTTCTGACGTCACTGCCTTGTGGTGGCCATGCATTACTGCTCTGCGGAGCCGTGTCTGTAAGCCCATGCAGAACAAGGTTGCGTCATAGGAGGTGCCTTACTGTACAAGTCACTAGCTGGCACTCTATTCGCTTGCGAGGTTGAGGTTGAAGGGGTAGTTGGTACAGTAAAAATAAATTTAAAAAAATACATAAAAGCTGAAGTGGAAGGTAGCTTCATAGCATTGCATAGAATATGTGGGTTTTAAGTGGGATTTTAAGAGAAGAAACTCGAGAGGTTAATTCTGGAACTGAGCATAAGCCATGCTAACTGCTTGGCATGTTGACAGTAACATTTTGTATGGCAAAGTGTCATCTCCTCATCTTTTGAAATTAAGTTCATGTTCTGTACTTACTATTACATATCCATAGCAGATATTTTCCATGAGTTCTCAAGGAAGAGCCACTACAGTTAATGAGGTAGGGCAGGTAGACCCCAAGGTAGCAAAGCAGTTGTTAATTGACTTATCTAGGCCACACAAGAATCTTGAACAGAGCCAGGGATAAAATTCTTTTCAAATTCCAGATTGGTACTTTGATTGCACGATCATCATCTTCACTTAGCAAGCATCGGGCTTTAGAGATCTATCTTGCAAGTGCTGCCGTGAAAAATTCGCAGGAAAAGAATCTGCCAAGACCATATGAATGAATGGCTATTTAGAAAAAATATTATGGATCAATTTCTCCTATTCCTCAAAGTTGGTCTATAAAAGAATGGAGGGGAAAAGATACCCTCTTCTGTAGTTCCTTTCTTTTTTGATGGTTTTGTAGCAGGTCAGTTCTGTAACGGATGCTTTGTGTACCTAGGGAGATGTGCACAGATGTCAAAGAGAAGGTAAACAGATTTGAAAAACAGAGACATTTCTTTTTAAATGGGAGCACTGAGTTCTCTGCAATTCCGATGTCTTTTCAGGATTTCCTCTGCCCTTGCGGGCTAGTACCAGTCTGTAACAAATTATTTCTGCTCTGGATAGTTTGAACTACTCATTTGGAATATGCTTTTCTCCTGCTGTGCCGTAGCAAAGCTCAGTGCTCTTGCCAACAGAGATGGCAGTCATTTTGAAAACTAATTGTAAGATGAGTCTATTTTAAAAAGAGCTTCTGCTCACTTTCAGTGTTTCAAAATAGATGTGCTTTCACTGTACATTGTGCTTGATATCGGAGTTACTTTTCAGAGGTAGGGCTTTCTTTTTTTTGTTTTGTTTTCTTGTAGCTCCTGACCATGCTTCTGGGGTCGTTGATTTCTTTGTGCCTCGTGTACTGAATTAATCTTTGTGCCTGACCTGTTCTCCAGACCGTAATAGTATCTGAACCTAGTTCTGCTCCCAAAGGCAACAGGTTTCCTGTTGTTTTCAGAGAGGCTTTTGCTGAGGCTGGACTTCGGAGGGCAGGCTTGCTGTTTGTTTCAGGAATAAAATACTGAGGACAGTGGAGCCCTGAGCCGTGATGGGGACCCGTGCATATGGCTGTAGGCATGGTGAAGGATCCTTCCCACACCAGATGCCCGCTTTTCAGGGGAAAAGAACTATATGCACGATTTCAGCCAGGCAGGCAAAAAAGGCCTTGGTTGGTCGTCAGCTGTCTCCAGGAGCTCTGACAGCTCACGTACCTGGGTGTGTGCCTGCCCGTATCTGCTGGTAGGGAGCCACAGTTTCCGCAGAGGGGGGAACGAGGAGCTGGGTATTTCTGCATCTACTTCCCATGCATGCAGCAGGAGCAGCTCTTTTCCTGAGCAGCATTAGCAAAAGCTGGCGTGATAATCTCTCGGTTCTGTAGGCTGGTAACGGTTGCAGTGCAAAAGGTGGTGAAACCTCTTTATGAGCAGAGGAGCGGCACACTGCAGTAGAGCTCCTGAAGGTTTCTGTCTCCCTATCTCTATAGCTGGGTTTTCAGATAAGAGTTTCACAGATAGGTTATGCTGTGAAAGCTGCCTGACATCTTGCAAAAAAGAACCTAACCATATAGGGCTGAGAGGGACCTGTGTTAATCGTTTTCCTTTTCAGCAGTCTTCCCCACAACATTCAGCTTTCAATTGCTGCTGCAGAATTAATAAGATGCAAAGTCTTCAGTCCAGATCCCCTTGGTAATATGGTCTCCCACTGCAGTCAGTGGAATTTAAGTAAATATGGAAAACACCTGGACCTTTCTGTCCAGCTTGCTATTAGCTATTATGTGAAAGACCGTAACATATTTCTACCTGGTAAGAGATCTGTTAACAAAAGCTGCTGCTTGAGATGAAATGTCATCATTGTAACTTCTGCTCTTCTTTTCATATTCTTCTTCTTCTTTTTGTCATCTTCTTCTTTTTTGGCACAAGAAAAGTTCCCTTTTGCACAGGGGGAACCTTAGAACTCTGAGGGAGAGTGGCATATTGAAGGATTACCTGGAGATTTTTTTCCCCTCTCCATGCTGAAGTCTATTCTTTCTTTTTCCTTCAGTCCACTGTCTTTGTCCTGCTTTGTAATATCAATAAGCTGTTTAATACAGTCCATAGTATGGTTTTATGCGTTATGGTGTTTTTTTTCCCCTGAATTCCTCTACTGATCTACTTCAGCATTGGCCAGCTGAAATCAGTGGCGCTGTCTTGACTCATACAAGCACAGCCTCAGCACCTTTGCCTATGTCAAAGAATGGCCTGATCATTGATTAGAAAGGAGGACCGAGCTTCAGCAGTCTTGTGTGGCATCGTGTATGCCATAAATTTAAAACTGGGTCTCCATGTATCCTTCAAGAGCTGTTGGTGTGAAGCAGTGAGGAAACGAGTGGCAATACTTACCCCCTCTCTGTTTGAAACCAGGAACCGAGAGTACGAAGGATGCTCTTGCACTGTCTTGATGATGTACTGCTCAGGAGCTCCTCTGAGCTCTGTGCGTGCTATCAGGCAGCTGATGGTTTTGCTCAATTGACTCTTGAGTGCATGTTCAGTGCTCAGGAATGGAAGTTTCCAGTCTGATCATTTTTGATGTGTTATACCCTAGCAGAACAAAAGAATAGTTTATCAGAAATGAGGTGGCTAGCGGATGAGTTGTTTACTACTCCCTGTGCTTAGCTGGCACAGGGCCCTGGAGTAGAACAGTGCAGTCATGACCTATTTGGCAAGACCATCCAAATTCCTCTGCTGCACTCTCTTTTCATAAGGTTTCTTATTTTCTTTGGTAGTAGAGAAGCCAACAGAGTAGTCAAGGGACTCAGGGTCCGCCTGGTGGAATAATGGGTGTCAGTACCTGGGAGCAAGTGTTTTCCTTAGACGGCTATTTCTCCTTCCCCTAATTTGGGCTTATGTCTCCCTGACTTTAGTCATCTCTTACTAAGTGACCTGCCTCTCAGGAAGGGCTTGCTTGGATTAGTCTGTTCGTCTCTTAAAAACCTCAGAAATTAGTGTATTGCCAAACTACTGATGTACACTTTATTTTTGGAATAATTATAGTGATGATAACAAATAATGAAAGGAAGAAAGTCTATTATATTTTTCTGTAATTACACAAAGGCAAAAATTCTGATTTTGGCTTTTCCGTCCTCTTGCACAGATGTGTATTATAGCAAGGAAAAGTAGCATTACCATGTACTACTGTTGCTCCTGCATCACCTAAGTAGTCTAGGCCAGTGTCAGGTTCCTTGGTCTTTATATCATCCCCACTCTGATTCCTCTGTTCCCTCCGTCATGCAGGGTACAATGAGCAAGATTATTCATGTTTTGGGAATGCCAGAATGAAAGACAGCTAGTTTCTCTCCAAAAAACGTAAATGCCCAGCTTTCCTTCATTACCAGCCAGAAGTTGTCCTACTGAATTCAGCTGTTGTATTTTTAGGCCTGTTCTGGCAGATCCTAACATACTGCTAGATCCTGTTGTAGCTGTAACTGCAGAAACAGCTACTTCCATGCAAGTGTGCAGTAGTGGGGCAAATACTATTTAGCTCTAACATATGCTGTAAGGTCTGGACCACTGCTTAGCTGGTTGTTTGCCAGTTAATGGATTTGGCTATACATATCTCTGTTCTGTATGGGTCTGTGAGCTGTGCTTTTGCTGAAGAAAAGCCTGTCTTCCACTAACAGAAAGAGACTAGCATTACTGTATTAGTTGTGGTTAGAGCAGTGTTACGTCAGGGTAGGTGAAGTAAGAATCAACTTGCATATGTCACTCTGGAGGTGTTTGCATTGCAGAGGTCCTCAGGGAGTTCTGTTGTACCGTCCATCTCTTACCAGCCCTAGAGAGCTGACTACTTGCTGTTCACAGGTTTCCATGTGTCAGAGGCTTGGCTTGCAGACAACAACTTCAACAAGATGAATGAGATATTGGCCAGGTCCAGCATTTAAAAGCATATGCTTAAGGTTAAGTATTCTAACAGGCGCACAGTAAGCCTGAAATGGTGCTTAGTCTCTTTCTAGAAGTTGGTAGAACCGTCATCTGCTTAGACTCCAGCATGTGTTCAAAGTGCTTTGCTTCTTCAGGTCCCATGGTGCCGCAAGATGGAGAGCCAAAGTCCTAAAACAAGTCCTTAGACATTAGCACCTTGGATTTAATAAAGTGGATGATTCTTTCGATGGTGAATATTTCCACTGAGAGAAAACAAGCTTTTTTAAAAGAGATAATCGGAATAAAGGGGGGGAAGAGATTTCTCAGCTGTTTAACGTTTTCATTAGCTAGTTAAAGGAAGAGGTCATTTTACCTGATGCAACATTGTTTTCCCTCTTCCTTATCATGGATTATTATTCTGCTCTTGTTCCTGGACAGCAGAGCCTTTTCAATGCTGTAATCAATCTGATAGTGCCATAAATACATGGCTGAATTTCCACAAATTGGCACTATCAGCAAGTAGGACATATTGATGAATGAACTTATTATGTATTTCATTGTTTAACTGTATTATTGTACAGAATTGTGGGAAAAGTTGCTTTCATCTAATATATTTCTGCTTATATGAGTTTATATATGATCTTATACAGTGTTAAGCTAAAATTATATAGATGTTAGAAGAGTAAAGTCAGAAGTATAAGTCATAATATCCCAAATACTAGATGACATGCAGACAAAAAAATTGCATTACAAATAAGGTAATTTCTGTATTGGTAATAATAAAAAAAGGCCATCCTATCTCTGGCAGACAAGGGTAAAATGATAAACTAGGAGCCATAAACTCTGTCTCTGTAATGCTTAATTGCACATTGTTAAGCATCATAGTCCACAGATGGATACTAATCCCTGAAATGTAGCAAAATTATAAAACCTGACAAGGACAAGTAGAGCTCTGGTAGGGAAAAGAGATGGAGTTACATTTTCAACAGCAATATGTGTTTCTCTTTCCATTGGAGGCACAAGAGATTGTTCTCTTTTGTGCAGCCTGGTAAAAAAGTCATGATATTTTTACTGGGTGTTCTGGAAATTGGTTTGGTGTGAAGGGTGACAGAGTTACATTGCTGACACAGGCCTCGCATTACGTCTGAATCTAGTACCAGCTTGAGGTTTCTGTCTGCAGAATCTTTGTTGTCACACGTGCCTGTGACTGGATGCAGCAGACCTTGGGCTTGACCCTGGTAGCATTTTAAGGTTTGAATCATATCTACTGTTTAATGTTTCATTTTCAGATTATTTTTGTCTAAATTTGGCTAACACTACCATCTCTCCATGGTTTTAACCTCTAGGTCTTTCTGTAGTTCTGTAACGGTTGTTAACCCCTGCAAACTGAGATCTGGAGAAGAGGTGTAAAATTAAATCGTAAGGATCTTCTGGAAACTTTGGCTCTGATCTTCTTCAAACACATGCATGAGTCTCATTAGGATGTTAACAGTAACGTGGTTTCTGTGCAGAGTCATCCGTGTGAGTTTGCAAAGTGGGAGGCTTAATTACCACAGCTATTAAGAAAATGGCAAGGAAATCAGTACGTACAAGATATAAACTGCAGAAGTGTTTCCAGTACTATTCACCTTTCCACAGTCAATATACATTCATGCAGTTGCTCTTTATTGATGGTTTTGCCCTTTTCCTTAGATTGAATTTCTCTTGAATTAATTTTAATAATCTTAGGAAATACTGTATGCAACTGCATATGATCTATATATTCATCCCTCTTAATCATCCATCTAGTCTTTACCAGCACTTAAGAACATGTATTGTCAACCTAATACTGTTCTTTGTTTAGGTTCCAGGACCAAGGAAGGAGTTGTTCATGGTGTCACAACAGGTAAGACAATTATCTCTTAATTTCAGCTGCTTCCCCACATTTGATTAACCGACTATTTACCTGTTAAAAATCCTGTGTGTTTTTCTGAGGGCACTCCGGTTTACTAAAAACAGAAAAGCACAGAAGAATTGAGAGGCAGAAAGCAACAGTCATTTTATCAAAATGCATACGCTGCTTTGCAATCAAATATGTCAAATTAATATAATTTTTTCTGTGTGAGAAGGGGTTTTTGAGGAATGTTCGGAATCAAAGTCAAGCTGCACTGGTACGAACCGGGAGACTGATGAAACCGGGTTCCTAAACAGACGGATATGACTTACATCTGTAGAAATTTGTATATCAGGGGGGTCTCTGCGGTTTGTTTCTTGCCAAAGGTGAAATATTCTGTGCTGGGAAATCACCACCTGGCCGCCA